AATATAATTATCAAAAATTGATCAATGTTTTTGTCTCTAAAGGTATGAATCAGTACCTGAAGATATACAGATGGAACTTTCCCCTTATTGTGATTGTCACTAGATGACAGATGAATACAATACCAAAAGTTGTTTACATCAATTGTTTTTAACTTAACTGGAAATTTAGCTTATTAACCAACCAAAAGGAAATAATATGAGACCCCAAAACATAACTATTAAAATATTTAAATAAACACACATAAGTAAATTATGCGATAAATAAAATTACCAGAATATTTTTAGATTATCTTAAAATTATTTAAAAATGTATATAAAATTAGATATGAATATGAACGAAGTACAATTTCTTAAGAACTCTGTGAAATTTTAAAATGGAAACACACTTCTTACATATTTTAGCAGCCTCTCGAAAACTAATGCAGTTTTTCATGTTTACATATATATCTTCAGATATATTTGATGATCTTTGAATAATACATCTCTTTCTCTTTTAATCTTTTTTTTTGATTTTATAAAATATATATATTTATATATATACTATAAATTTTATTATCCAACAAACTGAATTATCCAAATATTTTAGATAATTTAGTAGAGGCTTTTTAAAATAAAAAACAATATATATATATATATATATATATATATATATATATATATATATATATGATTGGATAATTCCAAAGGTTATGAATCCCTATTAAATTGAAATGTTTTGCTTTTAAATTAAAATATTAATTTATTTTGAAACAATGTGTCTTTTCAAGAATTAGTTTATTTGAACAAAGGTTGTGAAAATCCATTTAATTGAAAGATTGTGTTTTAATTTAAATTTTGTAATATTATTTTGAAACAATGTGTCCTTTCAAAAAGTAGTTTATTTTAAAGAATGCGTTTCTTTTTAAAAGTAATATTTTTAAGATATTGAAACAATGTGTCTGTTGAAAAATTAGTTATTTTATAAAAATGTGTGTATTCAAGAAATATATATATATATATATATATATAAATTGAAAAAAATGTATTAGTAGAAAGTTGTGACTTTTCATTTAAGAAAACCGACTATACTTTTAAAAGTTGTAACCTTTGAAAGAATGCTTTTCGTTTATATATATAGTGTATGTCTACGATTTCTTTGAAATATATCAATAACTCTTCTGGTGAATTCCATGTCATGACGAAGTTGACTTCACATCCAATATCACCGACAAACTCCTTTGCTTTCCTTTGAAACTTGTCAGACAAGTTATCTCTAATGATAATATCAATAACTCGGTTCTTCTCGTTTACAGTAGTGATGTTCGGGTTGGGAGAAGCCATCACCACTTGTGACTTCTGCTTGATTTTACTTTCGTTCTTAGAGCTCAGAGGTAAGTGTTGTGGAATCACTCTCTTGATCTCTATCTTCACCTCTGAGAAATCTCCATGTTCTTTGGTCGTGTCCCTAATATTTCTTCAATGTGTTGTAAGAATCACGTTTTTCCCTGTTTCAAGAGAAGATAGCAGTTGAACAGAAATGGCTGTAAGTTATTTTCTTTTTTGAGTATATATGGAAGATTGTTTTCATAAACTGTTTAATCATCCTTTTTTTAATTCATAGCAAATGTAAATTAATCGTGGGAGGATTATGAATAGACATCTTTTGAAGTGGATATATTGTCCCAAGAGGCATAATTCAAGGATTGTGATGTTTCAGAAGAAACTTTTCATGGAAGGATTCCAAATTAACGGTTATTTTAGGGACGTCAATAAGTTTTTTTTTTTTTTTTTTTTTTTTATAACACTTGATATTATTGAATTAAACTGAAAGTACATATTCTAGATGAAGGTCATTAGTTATAAAAGCTGGAACATAGAAATGAAATAAATATTGAGTAGTTTCATCTGTCACCCCCTTGGCTAACTTGTCTGCTACGGTATTTGAGAGTCGATTGATCCAAGAAAATTTGACTTCCTCCATTTGACGTTGCCACCATTTTATTTCTCTTTTCCAGTTATATCCATCAAAATATAGCTNTCTAGATGAAGGTCATTAGTTATAAAAGCTGGAACATAGAAATGAAATAAATATTGAGTAGTTTCATCTGTCACCCCCTTGGCTAACTTGTCTGCTACGGTATTTGAGAGTCGATTGATCCAAGAAAATTTGACTTCCTCCATTTGACGTTGCCACCATTTTATTTCTCTTTTCCAGTTATATCCATCAAAATATAGCTTCTCATTATTCAATATTTCCACTGCTTTTTTGCTATCACTCTCAATGATTATTTTCTTGTGCCCTTGGCTCCAAGCATGTTGTATGGCCATTAGAATAGCTTGAAATTCACACTCCAGTGCATTATTAATCTTCTTACCAGTAGCTTGAACTGCACCCCTAAAGCTTCCTGTCTCATCTCGGATAACCCATCCAACCTTGCCCGGAGTTACATCATTGATAAAAGATCCATCCACATTGTATTTTAACCAACCATTACTCGGCCTCCTCCATTTCCTATGTGGCTCCTGACCTCTGAATGTAGAATTTTGACCATTTTCTGTATCTTGTTTTCTCTCAATACTCCACCATTCCTTTGCATCAGTATAAGCATTCTTCAGTGTTGTTCTCCAATGGATCCATTTATGTTGAAATATTAGTACATTTCGACTCTTCCATATTCTCCATAGAATCCATATTGGGAGATCTTGAAAGTGTTGTAGTCGGGATGACGTTGAGCATCTTATGCATTCTTCAATTTTGGCTTCCAGTGTAGCGTAAGGGTTATTGAGAATTGTATTTGATATTCCAGAAGCTCTCCAAATTGCTTGAGCATAATCACATCCAAAGAATAAATGATCCTCTGTTTCAGTTGCAGACCAATATCTCTTACATACCTGATCTTGCGTTATATGTCTTCTTGATAGATTACTTCCAGTTGGTAGTATCTTAGAGAGCATTCTCCATACAAAATGTTTATGCTTTGGAGGTATTCTTGTTTTCCAGATTCTTTGTTTGAGTGTAATGTTTCCAGGGATTGGGGGAGGATCTTCATTAGTAGGTAGATGAGTACTCAGCCAGTATCCAGACTTTACCATCTTCTGTATCATTCCACCCAAATAAATCTTGTTGAGCCTTTGAGGTGATCTTGATTTTTAATATCTTCTGAACATCCTCTTCTACCACTTCTTGTCTCAGTTTTGTGACATCCCATTCATTACCATCATCTGTAAAGAAATCACATACCATTCTCATCTGTACATTTTTTGCAATAGCTCTCGGTGGTCTCGGAGGATGTTCTGGTAACCAGGAAGTGTTCCACATATCAATACTTGTTCCATTACCCACTACATACCGCATCCCTTTCTTTATAAGATCTCTTCCATAGAGAATTTACTTCCAAGCATAGGAAGCTTTCCTCCTCTGAACTGCATTGAGTATATCTCCTTCTGGAAAATATCTTGCCCGCAAGATTCTTGACATGAGACATCCCGGGTTTTGCATAATCCTCCATACTTGCTTCCCAAGTAAAGCTTGGTTAAATTTTTCCAGATCTCTAAATCATAATCCACCTTCTTTTTAAGGAATACTCATCCTTTTCAAAGCAAGCCAATGAATACCCTTTTTCTCACCTGAACTCCACCAGAATTTAGCAAGGATTCCATTTATTTCTTCACAAATCTCCTTCGTTAATTTAAAAACATTCATCGTATAAATGGGCATAGCCAACGCTATGGCTTTTAGAAGCACTTCTTTACCACCAGGAGTGAGATATCTCTGATGCCAGCCCTGAGTAACCGC